GGGCCCGCCCTGATCTTTCTGGCCTGACTTCGACCCGGGCTTCTGGGTCCACGCTGCTGACCGTGGTCCTGGCTCAGCGCCCGGGCCCTGGGAAGGCGGGCGGCTGTGGGGTGGGCGTGCCCAGAAAGACCCTCCGGGCCGTGGAGGGCTGAGGGAAGGGGCCCCGCGGCCCTTCCCTAAGGCCCTGGGGGTGAGGCCAGGGGCCCGGGAGCACCCGCCCCCCACCTGGCTGTGGGGGGGGGGGTGCTGGGAGGGCGGCGGCCGGCCTCAGCTTCCAAGGCTTCCTGCCCAGCTGGGCCCCGGGGCCTGTGCCCGAGGTGGGGCCCTGCCAGGCCGGCGTTGGGCTGATTCCGCCGGGGCAGGTCCCATCCCGGGCACCTCAGCGCTACGGGGCGGGGCGCTGCCCCCAGCCCCTGGCACAAGAGGCCCCTTGCCCGCTAATCAGCTGCGCCCTGTGTGTCTCTCGCCAGGAACGGACTGCCCACAGATAAACCAGCTGTCACCGAAGATGTAAACATTTACCAGAAATATATCGCCAGGTAGGCCCTGGCGAGAAGGCGGGCCGCAGGCCGGCCTGGGCACTGTCAAGACCCAGGGCATCTGGCGGCCGGTGCCAAGGTGCCGTGGCCCCGTCCTGCCCCCGCCCCCAAGGGGCTGGGAGGGACCGAGCAGCACAGGGGCCGGTCTGCATAGCTGGCTCGCGCCGAGCCGGCGGCTGCAGGCCACGGGGCGTATCAGGGGCATCGAGGGGCGCTGTCCTCTGTGGAGTGGCCCTCGCCGTCTGAGTCAGGCCCACCTGCCCCTTAACCGCCCGACGGCAGAGGGAGTGGCAGGTGACGCGCTTCCCCTCCACCGTCCCGGCCCTGCCCCGGCCGAGGGGAGCCGCTTCCTGCTGACCCTCCGGGTTCTGCGTGCCCGCCTGCTCGCCCTGCCCCTCCGTCTTTCAGCTTTGCTCTGCTCTCTTTATTATTATTATTATCATCATTATTAGTGCCTCAGCAGATGGCCCTTTTGGCAGCTCCCGCTTAAATATTTATTCGCGGGCGGTTCTCCTCTCGCATGGGGTTTCTCCCTCTCCCTCAGCCCCACCCCCCGCGGGGCAGGCTGGCCACCACCCTCCCGCCGTCCCGGCCTGCTCTCCCGGGGCCGCCTGGCCCAGGCCGTGAGAACCACATCCCGCGGCACCGCTGGGCCAGGGGAGGCGCGGACCAGCCTCGGCAGGCGGCCCCGGCTCCCGGCTGCGAGCCGGCGGGAGAGGGCTCCCTGCCGCGGGGAGCCCACAGGCCGAGCTTTAAAAATTCATGACTCTGGACTGTTTCAAGTGTCAGGAAAGCCCGGGCTGCAGAGAGCCCTTTAGCACCTCTCAGCAACAGAGTCCAGGGCTGGCCGCCGGGGCCCCTGGCCCCTGATCCAGCACTTGGGGGGCTGGGGGGAGAGGATGGCACCTGCAGAAAGACCAGTGAGGCCCCCTGGGAGGCGAGGCCGTTGCCAGCCCAGCCTCTGCCTGCCTGTTCTGAGCTGTGCTGGCCCTGCTCACCCCTCCCGGGGCGCCCAGCCCCCAGGCGGCCCCTGCTCACCCCTCCCGGGGCGCCCAGCCCCCAGGCGGCCCCTGCTCACCCCTC